TCTATTGTAAAGATGTCTTTTCTTTCAAATCTAATTTTGCTTTTTACAAACCGGGTACACATATTACGTCGTCCATGTGATCAAACTCGTTATAAGGACATTCCCTCAAAGTTGCAAGACATTCCCTCAAAGTTGCAAGCCGAAACTTTGGACTCAACTTTTTAAATGAAAATTGATATCGAAAACATATTTTTTGTTCCCGAGAATGAGTCAATTAGCTAACAGAAATATTTATCACCCTGGTTTAATCACTATCAAGTATCAACTAGTATTAATCAGGGCTTTAAGATATATTACTAAGTAAACATACTCTCTTACCCAAATATAAATTAAAAAGTGTTCAAAGATAAAAGTCGAGTGCAAACATAAATCACTCACACTCACACTATAGGATTTTCTTATTTATTTTTTTCTGTTTGTAATGTAATTATAGTTATCCTTGAAAAAAAATAAGGAATCATTTTTACTTTTGTAACGTTGGAAATTGCAAACATATGCGTACGTTCAAGCATATATGCAAATAAACTTATTTTGTGTCCGAATGCTCCTCAATCTACGGAAACCTGTCTATCTAGATTATCTATTATTTTCTTACTTCATGAAATGAAGGTTTCTTTGACAAATAAGTGAAACAGCGACGTATATTATATGTATGCTAAAGATATGCTATATAATATTTTACTCGTGTCCACATATCGATGCGTTGCTTTTATGATTTTCTTCTGATTTTGATTCTGTTCGAGCCTTTGAGGTCATATTATAATATTTTCTACAGAAAATATAAATATTTTTTTAATTAAAAATTACATATAATTTCAAGATAGTTTGAGGACATTTTAACATGTATCCAGAGTTACTTTAACAAAAAAAAAAAAAAACATGTATCCAATTATAATGTATTTCTTATGTGTAACCGAACAAGTTGTACAAAATGTTATGTATATACTGTATATATCCGTATTTTTAACAACAACAAAAGAAAATTCCTTAAAAATATATATGTAGTGGAACAATAAAATTGACTTCGCTTTTGCTTTCGGGTTGATTTATTCTTTTTTGTTTTTATTAAGACTATCATAGAAAATGTGAGCCAATTTATCACTATACGTCTTTCCTTTTCCTCCTCCATTCAAGGCCTTGATTAGTGATATGCTACTTTACTAAGTGACTTATCCACGCATTAATACTTGGAACTTCTTTGTTTAGCAAAAAAACAAGAATTATTTTGATTTTAGCCTCAGAGTTTACAAAGTTGAATAATAAATAATCTCTCTCGTTCTCTCAACTATAATATACTCCCACCGTTCTATGAAAATTAATGTTCTACTAGTTTCACACAAATTAAGAAACAATAAATTATATTTATTTATTAGTACACCTAAACATTTTCCAACAACTAGAAACCAGTAGTTATTTTATAAATTCGAATATCTTCATTTAATATTTTTTGAAGTTTACAATTTGTTAAATACTAATCAATAAAAAATGCTAGAACATCAATCTTTGTGGAAAAAAAAAAGCATAATTATGGGTTATGACTCGAAAGTGCTCACAAGAGCCATATAATAACACTCTCAAACACGTTGTAACTTCTAGATATACTGTGTTATATTGTGTGATCAGGCCATATACAAAAACATAAGAAACGTGTTTAGTAGTGATTGATAATTATAATTATGGGTTATGACTCGAAAGTGCTCACAAGAGCCATATAATAACACTCTCAAACACGTTGTTGCATAACTTGAGAACAAGAGCACATACTCTCACCTGGAAGATGTCATATCGAGTTACAAAAAATAATCTGAAATCAAATTACAAAGAGCTCTCTATATATAACAAAACAACAAAACCCAGTGACTTAAGATACACTTGCAACCCTCTCTACACATTCCCCAGAATTGTGACAATTGTTTCAAAAGAGCAAACCCGATTTTCAGATACGCTATAATCTTCGAATCCGTTTGACTAGAATGTGACAAGTTTCACATTAAGAGTTTCTCATATGTCGAATGTTATGATAAGACTTTCAGGCTTCAGACTTGAGAACAGTTGATAAAGTTTCAAGTGAATAACATCTTGAGTTCCTCTATACGTGCACTTCGTACTTCTTGATCTGTTAAAGCCCCAGAGATCATTCTCTGCTTCCTCGCCTGAACCACCTCCATTCTCTCCTCAACCGTTCCCTAGGATTCTCAAAGGCAAAGACAAAAACATGTCCCACGAGTTTCTAACAATCAATACTTAGCAACAACATTTTCTGATTTTAGACGTAGTTTCAATGATAGGTTTCTATATGATAAATGCTGATTCGCGGCTGAGAAATAAGAAGGTACCTTAATGATGAACCTTCTGATGTTGACTTTCTTAGTCTGTCCTATACGATGAATACGCATAACAGCTTGTTCCTCAACTGCTGGGTTCCACCATGGATCCTATAGGACACAATTTGTTTTTTTTTTTTCAACGACACTACTTAAAACCTATGTTGTTTTGCGCATTCCTCATTTATAAGCTTTAAAAACTCAATATGGCTACACTACTACCTAAGTTTCGAATTGTGGATGAGCTAGTAAATGGTCTAGATCCTACAGGAATTGATATAATCTATCTTTAAGAGAACATGTATAGATGTGCCATACCATGACAAAAGCATTGGATGCAGCGGTTAGATTTATCCCGACACCACCAGCTTTTAGAGACATCAACATCACCTATCCAACAAATAAAGAAGAGAAGTGTTAACTCCAACTTAGAACCAAGAAAGTAAAACTTTTGAACATTTCAATGTAATGGGGCTACACCAACCAGGATACTGCCGTCTTCAGAAAACTCTTTAAGAACTTTCTCCCGTTGATGCTGATTTAGCGTGCCATCAAGACGGACAAATGAAATGTTGCTCCTGGAGATGAAAATATCAATTTAAAATCTTACTATAGTTTTGGTTCTTGAACACAATATTTCCTCAAAACTGCCATAGCAAAAGCCTTCAGTAAGACGTGGTATACCGAGAGAGTGGAATCTGGAGAAGGTCGAGGAAAGCAGTCCATTGGCTAAAGAGAATGCTCTTAGAGCCTGAAGAACGAAGACTTTCAAGCTCTTGCAGAAGAGCAGTGATTTTGGATGATTCTACCCAATTCTTTTCCACATCAACCTGAAATCTACTTTCGGTTGGAGCTGTGATGAGTTCTTGCTTGCCTACAGTTTTCCTGCAAATTACGGATTCATCATTATTGGCACCGAATTTAGACACTTGGTTGTATCAACAGCAAGTACATCAAATGAAAACTAGTAATAGCAGGAAGAACTTCAAGATACCTACAGACAGGACATAGCCCAGAAGCAGAACCCCGCCAACTTGCCAAGAGACACTCACGACATAATCTATGAGCACATGGTGTTAATACGGCATCTTCAAACGCTTCAAGGCATATTGGACACTCTCCTTGCTCTCCTTTACGTAGTTCCTCTACCACCTCCTGAACAAAAGCCACTGATGGTACATCTTTTCCTTCCCTTTCAAGATCAGAAGACTTTCCGCTAAGGAAACGTTTAGAGAGCTTATTCAGATCAGAGTATTCCGCAGTATCACCTCGACTGGATGCATGGAAAACAAGAGAATGTTATCTACAATGTGGCAATTACGCCAACACAATGTCAAATAGAAACAAGGGCTACGGTTGCATGCTCCTTATAACAAACTGCCTAAATTGTCTATGATATGTATTTGATATTTTATAGAAAGTCGTGCAAATTAATCAAGCATAATGAATGTGAAAAGATGTTAAAATCAGCACCGCATATCTCTAAAAAAATAGAAAAAAAGTAAGGGCATACAAGCCACACCTCGTTACTAGAAATGGGTGATCACAACACTGTCGAAGACGCAAAAGCAGTTCCAGGATCGAAGCATAATTATGAAGAACTTTTCCTTGTTCAACAAATTGATCAAATTTGACCTGAAAAGATCCATTAGCATCTTCAGTATAAGGAATCTATAAAGGAAAGGTGGAGTAAAATACTAAAAAATCCTGAGAACAAAATTACCTTGGATCTTTTAAATAGTGCATCGTAGAAATCCCTCTCAGACTCCGAGAGTTCACAGTAAATGACCCGCACATCAGCAGGGGGTAGAACAAGAATTGGCCTAATATAAACAAACATGATTCAGATTAACCGAGGGAAAATATTATTTTTATAAGTATCAGGAAGTTATACGGATGACTGATTTTTTATTTGTGGTATTCCCACCTTCCTTCTCGATCTGTGCTAGACTTGGTTCTCCTAAGCATGATAGGTTTTAAGATAGACTGCACCAGCTTTAGCCCTCTCTCATCTCCTTCTTCAAATGGCTTTTGGACGAGTTTATTCCACCTAAGAATAAATATGTTCCAAACTAACAAGCTTCAGTCATTCCATACCAAATGTAACGTGTTTCCAACCAACAATAAATAAGGAACCTTACCATGCCCAAGTTCCCCATGGTTCAATCCTCAAAAAACGTAGAAGGCTGTACAAATCCTCCAGATTGTTCTATTAATAAGATAACATGTGAAATGATCACAAAGTCCCAAAAACGATAAAAAAATTCATTACCCAACATCCATTTGATAAGCCAAGAGAATATCATTACTGCAAGTCATATGAGACACATCTTCAAAAACAAGTTTGTGAGATAAAATCCAGTCCAGACTTGTGTACAAAGTCCAAAACATGTACAAGAGATTGATATCCTTCTAGCATAAATTTAGACCATTTGAAACTCAGGTAAACACCAAATGTGCAACTACTAAAATTATTTCATAGATAGAGTGGCAGTGTCCTGAGAAAGTTCGTCCTATAAAGCGGTCAAGAACAAAGATTTTAGGTATATCAAATCACCTGAATAGGAGTACCCGTAAGACACCAACGCCGATCAGCAACCAGAGCTGCAGCAGCCAAGGAAATTTGGCTTTTTGAGTTTTTGATGATATGTGCCTCGTCAAGAACAATCCTAAACCATCGAACTGCATAGAGTCCATCACTGTCTGCTGAGTTCTAAGAAGAAAAAACAGAAAATTTAAAAAAATATTCTTGCAGTGTTTATAAACTATAGTATAAAGGGAATAATTACCCGAACTAAGACTTTTTATAAGAAAGCTACCTCTGCCGAAAATTCGGATGTTAGAACCCCATATGTGGTGATTACAACATCACTCTGGGATAGAAGTTTGGCATCCTTTGGCCTGCTTTGCCCATAATGAACATAGACAGAAAGAGACCCAGGCTTTGCATGCGCTTCAATCTCTGACTGATCATAAAGCAGGAAAAAAAGAAATCATTCACTCGAAAGACAAAAGCGAAACAACAATATGATGGATAGCCAAACTGTAGTGTGCACGTGCATCAAGCATGGAAAATATTATTAGCATCTAACGTATATAATACCTTCCACTGGCCTAAAAGCGTCATCGGACATACAATCAGGTTACCGCCATTTTCAAGTGCACTTTTTTGCTCAAGAAGCTTCTTATCAAAACCTGGAAATCTGGTTGCCTTCACTGAAGGACTAGTGAGCTCATCTACGGAACTGCTGATCACTTTGTCTCCTTCATCACTGGGGCATAGAAAACCAGTTGACGCAGCTTTCCAAGAATGGGCAAGCAAAAGGGATATGGTCATTACGGTCTTTCCCAGACCCATTGCGTCTGCTAGAATCTGCAAAGCATTATGATATTATCCTTGCTACAAAACAGCTATATAACGAAGTGAAATGATAAACCAAAATTGTTTGTAGGTGAGCTATTGAGGTTCATACTCCTCCTCTTGCCATTTGAAGTGTGCTAGGAAAGTGTATTGTAGCATCACCAGTAAAAGAATTCAGGTAGACAACAAGTTCCCTCCTATTGACATAAAACAGATAGTAAATATTTCATCTGACTAGCACTAAAGTTGGCAGGCAATAGAAACATCACTCACTTGTCTGCTAAACAGTATGCTTCCCAACATGGATGAAGCATTGTTGCTGCCTCATCAGTGCAGTTTCCTTTCTCCAGTTGGGTCATCCAATGAAGTGCCTGCTTTTGATATGGACGAAGCTCACACAGAAGGGTATCTGGAGTTTCCATTTCCTGTAGACGAAGTTCTCAGGTAATTTTCCAAACGAAATTCTACTGTCGAATAATAGTAAGCAAAAAGTCTTGGAAACGAGAATACTTTTAGCCCAGAACTGTCCCCAGCACCAACAATGTTATCAAGATCACCATCACTGATACACTGCTCATTTTCATCTCCATTTGCATCTTGATTCAGATTCTTGACCTTGTTTAATTGAAGCAACGAAGTAGGAACACCAGAACCATCCTATTTCCGAAGGAGCAGACATCAAATGAGAAACTCATCGAGCAAGAAGTCAAAGTTTAAAATGCAGATATCATAAGCCATTTGTACCTTAGAACTCAAAGGTCGCTTCCTAGTGGACAAATCCTCAGGAGTGAACTCTGCCTAATAATGATGAAACAGCAAAGAAACATTTTCAGAAATAAACCAATAAAATAAAATCAAAGAATAGATATATATTTTTGCCATCTCATCAACTTGCAGTAACATCATATGAGAACTGCAAACTGCGATTTATAGAGCAGTCAGCAATTAAAGGTATTATATGCAGGTATGAACCATTACCTTCTTAAAAGGGACCAAACCCAGCAACCGGAAGAGATTTGGGAGAGGATGGAAAACTGATTCCTCTGCCGTATTACTAGCTGTCTTGAGTGAAGTTGCACTATGCTTTTGAAACATGGAACTATTAATGTATACGCTGTTTCAAAAACAATCAAAACACCTTAAAAACTAATCCTGGAATCATTAATCTAAACACAATAGTTTGTATACCTACTTTACTGAAAGAATTATTGTGTCCATGATGCTCAATGCTTCAGGTGCCGACTTGCAGCTCCCTTCTATCCTAATCTTCTTGTCTCTCACAAGCGGTACAAGACACCGAGCCCATTCGTTCGGTATTCTACCAATCTACCACAAGAGAGCCCATCATAAATTGTAACCAATTCCCATCTCATAAACATTACAACATAACAAAGTAATTAAAACCATGAATTTTGATCTCACCTCTCCTGAATCCTTTGTAGAGAACCTAACGATATCAGAACCAGTACGCAAAGCTGGTCTTCCACGTCCAAAGCGCTTCCCAGACGCATTCTCAGAGCCCAATGATTTTTTACTCTGAGGAAACGTAAACACTAATTCGTCACCGGACTTCAATTTCCTACCTTTACATGTAGACAATCCCGACAATTCCGAAGAGCCCACAAACCACCACTCATTCCCTGAAACACTCTCTTCTCCACCATCAACACTCTCGTCTTCTTCCTCCACGCGATGATTCGCTTCAACACTTCCACCTTCACCAAAACGACAACCCTTTATGCCGTTCTCGAACCTCTTCCCTCCATTAGAGCCGCTTGGGCTACGAGTGGCTACATCAACTTTGCCGAAACTAGGAGTATCGAAGATTATATTAATAGCTGCCGTCGGATCATTATTCGCCATGTGCAAAGCCCTAATTATATCCATCTCTGAGTAATCGGAGCCCACGACTGATCGGACGGTGGAAACCAGAACGTCTGAAACTTTCGTCCCCATTCCCAAAACCCTAGCCCCTAAATTTTCCAATAAAGCCTTGAAATTTCGAGAAATTTTCAGAATCTATTGTGGTTAAAGACTATGAATCAAGAAACCCATGTACGTAGATCGATTAAGAACGGAGACGAATTGACGACGACGGAGGAAATCAAACCGGACCCGAGAAAGGCGCGTAAAACTGCGACGGGTCTCCAAATTCCCGCC